AAAAAATAAGATTTTAATAAAAAAATTCAAATTATACGAAATCTCGATATATGTAAAATCTATTTTAGTTTGACAACGGTTTGAATCTAATTTAATTTTCAAGATTCAAATACCCAAAACCTAAATATAGAGTTTCAATTTCGTAGTTTTTCTCCTTTTCAAATTTCTCAAATTCTTCTTTTCCTTTTTTTTTTTTTTTAATTTCAATTTATTTTTTCTCAATTTTCCCAATTTTTTCACTAGAGTTCACTTTTTTGCCACATATAAAGAGATAACATACACCTTATCACTTAATATAGTGATTAAGAGTAGGCACTCAAATAAAATAAAATAGAAGTTAATAATTTGAACAGATAAAATTAAAAGTAAGACATTCAAATAAAACAAAATAAAAGTTAGTAACTAGAATAGATAAAATTAAAAGTGAGATACTCAAATAAAAAAAATAAAAAACCGGATGCTAAATATGCAACTTGTTATTAGAACCAATTTTTTACAATATATCACGAGATGACAAACACATTAATACTTAGCAAACTGAGCCAACACTAGACATTAAAGAAATAGGATGAAATAAAAAAATAAATTAATAACTTAAATTAGAGAAAATAACTAAATAAAAAGTTAATAACATAAATAAATAAAATTAAAGGTGAAGTGTTTAAATAGAACAATAAGTAAGCATCGAATATACAAATGTCTCCTATTAGTAAAATCATATGCTCATTAACATCCATCTGTCTATAGAGTTATTTTTAGTCATTTGTTCAATGCCAAAGTTTAAGCTAACGTTTTCTAGAAAAAAAAAAAAAAAAAAATTTAAGCTAACATCATTGATCTTAAATTTCAACATGTATTGTGAACATTATAATTATATTGAATAAAAGTAATAAAAATTATTTTTATTAGTTAATTGATTTCCCACACAATTTTGTGGCGATAACATAAGATTTATTAACCACAAAAAAAGTGATCAAATAGTGAGTAGTCATTTTTTCTTGGCTAAAACTAAAGTTCGATTTTTATTGTGTATAAATATTTAATGATACTAGATTTAAGCTCATTTGATCTACAAAACAATCCAATAATCGAGTAATAGCTCGACGTGTTTTATTTTTGACTTAATTAAAAAAGTGATAGATTTATCATCGATTGTTGTAAAAACTATCCTGAAAAATATTAAATTACCTGTAAATATTTGTCTAATGGCACAATCTTTTATTTATTTTTTTTTATGAAAAAACGAAGTTGCCTTTTGTTTTTTTTTTTGGCACAAGAATGAAGTTGTCCATCAATCCACTTAATTGTCAATTCATGCAAGAAATATCACTTCTAAAAATGAATTTCTTTCTTTTTATTAATTCGACGTTCCATCATGCATATTTGGCTGGTCAACCTGGAGTGCGAGAGAAAGGAAAATGGATGGGAGGGACCGCAACATTGAGTTTCATGTTGAGTTGATGCTAAATTTCAGAAGAGGGGGCATTATTGAAAGCAATTTGAGTTTTGGCCTTGTGGGTGATGATCGGAATGCAGAGGAGAAAGAGTTACTTTAGAAAAAACTTGATTTTTTACCTCGTGTTACGTTACGGATTGAATAAAATATATAAAATTATTTAGAAAAATTATTTCAGTTTAATAGTTTGTTTTATGGTGTGAATATCTAAAAATATATGAAATCAAAGATGAAAAAAATATTTATAATTTTTTAATAAAAAATTTTGTATTTAACTATTTCTTGTTTGTGTTTTTATAATTTTTTCTTTAAAAAATGATTTATCCTTGTTAATCCATGGATTATTTACTAAAAAAATTTTAATAATTTTTTTAAAAAGCTTTAGCATTTCATGTTAACGAGAATATCGATTTTTGAAAGCTTACATAGAATTGAAAAAAATTTTTATTTTTATTTTATTTCATGTTGATATGAATATCGATTTTTGAAAAAAAATATGAATTTAATTTTTATATATTTATTTACAAAAAAAAAATGAATAATATTAAAATCAATCAAAACTATCGGTACATATAATTTTAAATTAATTGGCTGAGAATTTAAAAAAATGACAAATTAAAGTAGTGAATTTTAAATAATAAAAATAATTAACAAAAAACACTAAAACAAAATGGGACCAAATCACAATACAATTAAAGTTTGAAATTAAAAAAAAAATGTATAGAAAAAGGGTCATTTCTTTAGTCCAATCAATTTGTTGTGTAACTTATGCTGAAATCAAGAAAAAAAAAGATTAATACATAATAAAAGTAATTAAATTAGGAATAAAATGTTTTAAATTTTTTTTAATTACTTATATAATATTAAAGGAAAAATAAATTAAATGGAAAAAAACGAAAAAAACGCTATAGATTGGTGCAAATAGTCTTAATCCATGAAACCTCATTTGTTTGATGAATTTAGAACGTATATATAAAATCTAACAAATTCTTAAATGTAAATGATTGAGTCCCATGGACAGTGTTGCCCATGTTTAAAATATTTAAGGTTTATAATTAAAAAAAATATTTAATTCTCATAAATTACTCGTAACAATTTGAAAAAAGTTTTAATAAAATAATTTAGTTCCTAATAATTTATCAATTTAGTAGAAAGATTTGGTTGAAAAAAAAATTAGTAAGAATACCCAACTTATAAGGACAATATGGATTAGATCTTCAACTTATTTTTCATCTCAATTAGATTTCCTTCATATTGATGGATTCTTAATCAAATCCCTTTTATTTTTTATAACAATAATTTTTCTAATTACCGAAATTTTTTTTCTCGTAAAATAATAGAATAGATTGAGTAAAAAACCATAAGAAATTTATATTTTGTGTGTATAGTTTAGTATATAACCCAAGATATATTTGATGAAAAAAAAAGAAAAAGATATTAAGGAATAAGTTTAGTGTGGCTAGTTAATAATTTCATTAATTGGAACTGAATAAAGGATTATATTGAGAATCCATTAATAGGTTAGAGATCTAACAGAGATAAAAATAGATTAGAAGTCTAATTGAGATTGTTCCTATAAGTTAGGGACTTTTCTTCTTAGATTTGCCCAAAAATATACCAGTCCTAATGCCAAAATGTGCATTTAATTTTTTTTTTTTTTTAAAAGGCCTGCACGCCAGGGCAACTGAGCCTAGGCGTCAGGCCTGGTTGAGCAGCTCAGGCTTGCGCGTCAGGCTTTGATCGCTGCTCAACACCCAAAAAAAAAAAAAAAAAAAAAAAAAAAAAAAAAAAAACTGTAACTTCGGCAAACTCGAGGTTGTCGGAAGCTTCATAAAAAAATCGAAGATCAAATTTTAGATCTCTAGAAATTGAATTTCGATATCATTTTTCTCCCCAAACACCTTTAAATGATCGAAATAAAGTCAATAAACATATCTAAGACCTTAAAAATTATTTTAATTCACAAAAAAAAATTACATGATCAAATCGAAACTTTGTTTTCTTTTTTTGCCCCGATTTACATAATCTAATTGTTTAATGGCTTGAAACCAAGCATAGATAAACTCATCTCTCAAAGATAAAAAAATCTAATAGATTTTGGTTGGCCAAAGTGGCCTAAATAGGCTTAGCCGGCGATCTCTTTCTCCTCCTGTCTCTTTCTTCCTCCCTCCCTTATCTCTGTACCTAAGGACTAAAATAGATGAGCAAATGAAAATGTGGATCGAAATATTTGTTCGAAAATATCGGGGACCAAAGTGTAAACAAAGCCATGAATAGTGAAATATGAGTGTGTGAACAATATTTGAAACAAGTAAACCATCGTTTTGTTTTAATTTATTTTATTAATAAATTATTTCAACATTCTTTAACAAACACGAGTGCTTCGTCTCATATTATTGTGGTCTTAGTAATAAAAAAACTTAATTTTAATGAAATAAACCAAAATGTTTTGTTTGTACTTTTTTTTAAGTCATTTAATTGTTTTTCTTTATCCGACGAGAAGAATAATTTTTGGATTAATTTACATGTTAATGAAGATTATTATTTTTTTTGGATAATATTTTCACATTGATCTAGTGAACAATCTTTTAATCACCAAATCAATTCCTTCAAATTATATGGAAAATAAAATAAAATAGCATTTTATCAATAAAAACGAGTTTGATAAGTTCAATTTTATTCAAAAAAATCGAGAGTAAGAGCATCTCCAATGGTGCTTTCTACTTTCGACTAGCATTTTTAATGTAAATAGAGATCACCATTAATTATATAGATTGAAGATCAATGTCTTTTCTAATGCTAATCTCTACTTTACTCGTTTATTTTGACAAAATTCATAAAACATTTAATTTTGAAAATTTCCCTCTCCTTTTTTCTATTAATCTCCCTTCATTCGATTGGTGAAGAGGTTAAGTGACATAGAAAATAGTAATTTTCATTAATAAAATATAAGATAAAGAGTCATTTGGACTATATAATATTAGAGAGCTAAAGACACTATGTATCTCATTTTTAAAAATAGAGATTGTGATAAAAAAAAACATTAAAGATAAAATTTGGGCTAAACTTTTTTATTACAAAAAAATATTTAATATAAAGAGCACATTAGAGATTCTTTAAAAATAGCCAGGAGAGGGACGACCTTGGACCAAAGAAAGCACGGGAAAAACTGACGAAGTTTTAAAGGTTGAGAACTTGATCTATGACTAATAAGTATATAAGTTGAGGACTAATTTGTAGTTATGCCAAAAATAATTAACGGCATAGATGGCCTCCTTGGTGGGTCCAATAAAATCTATCCCACGTGTCTTTGAGTACCAAAAAGTCACCAAAGTAGAGGCACCAAATTTTTCGTTACCTCTACAGAAGGATACAGAACCATCAAAAAAACAGAAAAAAAAAAAGAAAAGAAACGAAAAATCACTTCTCTTCATTATGGTTGGTCGTCCCTTACTTCTTTCCCTCCTTCCGTCAGCCACAAAATTCCTACTGCTTTATTTCCTAGTAGTAGTATTTTTACAGCATCGAATAAAGAGGGAAAAAAATGGCATCTGTGAGCTGTCGACTTCACCCTCCAGCTTCTTTCTCTTCTTATTCTTCTTCTACAAAATGTAAACTTCCAAGCAAATCTCACACATTAAGAAGAACTTCACCGACTCCACATGTAACTCGAATTGGACATGACGGTTCTTACATAAACCATCGACAAAGGAGTGTTGTTTTGAGGTCAGCTCTTGATGAAGTTCCTGTTCTGGATCCACCTCCATCTTCGCCATACGAAGAGGGCAAAGCTGAACCCATTGCTTCATTGAAACTCAAATTGCTGGTGCTTTTAATTACCCTCTTTTTTTTTTTTTTTTATCTACTTAATAATTTAATTCTGCCAACTTGGTGCTCCTTGTTTGTGTGGTTTCAATCTTATGTGATCAGTACTTAATGGCCAAGTCTTGGTGCTAGTGATCTTGAGTTTGGTTCAATATTACTTTTTTTTCGGTGCCTGTGGCTTAGTACTTAATTAGGTTCTTTAATTTTTAGATTTAGATGCTCTGTACTGGTCCTGGGGTCAGTAAAGGCTTGCTGTTAATTATATTTTTTGCTGGATAACATTCCCATTTCTGTGCTTTTTCATGTTTCAAATAACTAATCAAATTGTGGACGACTGCTTAATCGGTTAGAATTGTGTTTGGTTGGATGAGTGGCTGTGATGGGGGAAGTGGTGATGAATGCGGGGATTGGTGCTTATTTCTTCTGATCGGTACATATTGCATTCATGGCGGTCAAAATTGGTAGAATTGTGTAGTTTTCTGTAGTTACTAGTTAGTACCACATTGCAGTCAATGGTGTTTGATTTAATAGACTTCCTACCACAAGAACCGGTAATGTTTACATCCTCTATCTATGTACATTGCTACCGTTGTTCGCTCAAGAATTTAGAACATAAAAATATTACTTCACTTGCGCTTTTCATAATGTAAATGAGATAGAACAGGAATTGTAATTTCTTTCTGATTAACCAATGAATGATTAGTATGTTTAGAATTATGTTTAGTTGTTTATTGGCTGTGTTGAGGGAAGTGGCAATGAATATGTGGATTCATGCCTGCTTCTTGTGATTGATATTCAATAACATAATGCATTCTTGGCATTGGGCATTTATTAGTCCTTTTCCTTTTGGTGATTGGAAATTCATATTACTTTTTTTTTATCAGAAATTCGTATTAGCGTGTAGGATTTAGTCGGCACAATCAATAGCTTATTGTGATATAATCAAACTTTCTACCACCAGGAGAATTGGTGCTTACTTTCTGAATGGAAATTACTACCTCTGTTCTCTATAGAATAAGAATACAGGTACACATATATGTTGACTAGTTCCTTTCACGGTGCAAGTGAGTTAGAGAAAAGAGGAGTTCTTGAAAGAAGTCTCTTATGAAGTTAAAAGCATCATTTGCAAAGTAGAAGTTTCACAGGTGCAGATTTGGTTCTTGGAGAATAATGATGGTGCTTTCGATGGAAGATGGGTTAGAAATGCTATACAGGGAACACCATGCTACCAGCATCTTATGAGGAATCTCAGAAGATTTTTTTTTTTTTTTTGAAATTCTAAAGTATCGTTTCCAATATAAAAGGATGTCAAAAATATTTCCCTGGGAGGTGGAGTCAAGAGAAAACAACGTGCAATGATAAGTATTGATATAAGTGTTTAGTTCTTAAAATTTCTGTCCTAGTTCTCTCAACCTTAAATTTAGACGCAAATGTTTTTTTCAGTTGCAATTTTTTTTTCACTACCTTTCATGTGTAGTGTTTCTGCTTGATTAGGTTGACTAGTTTCAATTTCGGATGCTGAGTATATTCTCTATGAAGTTGTATTGTTCTTGTGTAATACAAAGGTAGGTTATTTATGTTTTGATAAAAAAACATGAGTGAATTCTGTGACATAACTCTCATAATGGTTAGTCAAGATGTGTTTCGTGCAAAATTTGGTTATAAACTGTGTTAAGCAATTAATAAGTGCTGATCATTTGTTCAACTATGGGATGGCTGTGACTGGAAAAGCTGGTAATATGCTTATCATTGCTTGCTTTGACTGTTGGGTACTTAATCAGTATTCATGGATGGCATCAACAATTCATTAATTATAGTTTTTTGGTCGTAAAATATGATATAATTTTGTGATAGTTAGTATCAGTAAATCATAATAGGATGAATTAGCAGTCAATGACATGCTCTGTAATATAATAGAGCTTTCTACCACCAGGAAAACTGGCAGTGCTTATTTTCTACGCAATCTAATAGAGCTTACTCCAGTTTTCTCTAGAATCAAGAATTTGAAACATACAAGTATCTTCACTCATGCCATTTGCTGTGCAATTGCTATAGAATGGAAGTTTTAACAGTAGGTCTTCTGCAAAGTATGTGGCACCTGCTGTGTCCTCTGGAAAATTGGATGGTTGTGAGATTAAAACATGTTTCTAGGGGAACATGGTGCTTTTGACTAGATGAGTGCAGTTTGAGACGCTTAACTGGGAAACAACGGCTGCTTGTGCCCTGCTAGAAGCTTCTAAAGGAATTTTTTTTTATAATATTGGAGGATGTCCAAAATATTTCTTTAAGGTTATGGAACATGGAGAATATTTGATTTAATGTTTGATTCCTAAAATCGCTTACAATAGTTTTCACCCTTTATGTTTTGGACACTTTTCTTTGAATAAGTGCGCACTACCTAGTATTTAATCTACAGCCTCATTTCAAAGCATCTGATATATAGAAAATCATGAATACCTTTTCTTTTGGTACATGACAGAATCTTGTGTCTTCCAAGTAATAAATGTGAGAATGTCGATGTCAAAATGCAGAACATATTTCCTCCCTTGAAGGGTGCTTATTCTATTTTTCAAGAATATTCTTACCTTGACACATATGGTTGATTGAATGCAGAGTGTTGTTTCTAGAACCAAGAATTTGAAACATACAAGTATCTTCACTTATGCACCCAATGTTTTTACCTTTACACATATGTTTACCTTGACACATATGCTTACCTCTGTTTTCTCTAGAATCAAGAATTTGAAACATACAAGTATCTTGACTTATGCCATTTGCTGTGCAAATAATATAGAATGGAAGTTCTAACTGTAGGTCTTCCCCCTGAGTATATGACATCTGCATGTTCCTCTTGCAAATTGGAGGGTTGGGAGATTCAAATACGTTCCTAGGTTAAAAATGATGGTGCTTTTGACTAGATGAGTGCAGCTATAGACGCTTAACAGGGAAACAAGGGCTGCTTGTCTCCTGTTAGGAGCTTCTAAAAGAATTTTATAATGTTGGATGATGTCCCAAATTTTTTTCTTATGGTCATGTAAGGTGGAGGATAATTGATTTAAATGTTTGATTCCTAGAATCTCTAACATTAGTTTTCATGCCCTTATGTTTAAGACAAATTTTTTTGAATAAGTTTGTACTACCTAATATTTTATTCTGTTGGACTCATTTATACACCATTGGAAATATAGGCACAATCTTGAATTGCTTTTCTTTTGGTACTTGACAGAATCTTGAATCTTCCAAGTGATAAATGTGAGAATGCCAACGTGGACATTCAGAACTCATTTTCTCCCTTGTAGGGTGCTTATTCTATTTTCATGAATATTCTTACCTTGACACATGTGGTTGATTGAATGCAGAGTGTTGTTTCTGGCCTGAACAGAGGTCTTGCTGCTAGTGGAGATGATCAACAGAAGGCAGATGCTGCCGCCAAGGAGCTTGAAGCTGCAGGAGGACCGGTCGATCTCTCAAATGATATTGATAAGCTGCAAGGGAGATGGAAGCTTGTATATAGCAGTGCATTCTCGTCTCGCACCCTAGGCGGTAGTCGTCCTGGACCTCCTACTGGAAGGCTGCTTCCCATAACTCTTGGTCAGGTCTGTATTTTGAGCAATACCTATCAATGTGCTTTTCAACTGGGTTTGGTTGTTCTCCTGAACTGTAGATCAAGGTGCAGTTCTTCAAGCACCTTAATTGGGTGACTGTTAGACACCCTGCCACATGACAGGCTAGTTCTTGCGTGTTGTGAGCATCCATCCAAATGATTTCAGATCTCATGTGAAGGCCTCATCTATATTTGTTAGATCCAAAGTAACAAAGAAAAAAAAAAATCAACATCGTGATACTGTGCATCATGGTCAAGTTAGATGTCTGAAATACATTTTGACTCATGGTTTCTTGGATGCACAAGCAATACTACCAAGATATAATCTGCCCTAAATAACTGATTTTGGTTTTTTTTTTTTTTTTTTCTGCGGCTTTTAATTTTGTTTGTTGATTAGGTCTTCCAACGAATTGATGTCCTAAGCAAAGATTTCGACAATATTGTAGAGCTTGAATTAGGAGCTCCATGGCCCCTACAACCGGTTGAAGTGACTGCCACATTGGCCCACAAATTTGAGCTCATAGGTTGGCCTTTCTCACTTATTTCTTCCTTTTGTATTTGGTTGTCACTCTCTTTACTGTTATTATTTCGTTATATCCCTTTCCTGTGAACTAGAAAGTAAGATAAATGTTTCTGCTTGCGTGGAGAACAGGATTGGCAAAGATTAAAATAATATTCGAGAAAACAACTGTTAAGACGACTGGGAACTTATCACAACTTCCACCATTAGAAGTACCTCCAATTCCAGATGCCTTAAGGCCTCCATCTAATACTGGAAGTGGTGAATTCGAAGTTACGTACCTTGATGCGGATACTCGTGTAGCAAGAGGAGATAGAGAAGAGCTTCGAGTTTTTGTGATCTCATAAATTCTTTCTTGTGCAGTGTCTTAATTTTTAAACGTTCCCTGAGATCCATTCAAGGTTTTCTGTATCATGGGAAACAATTCCCCCAGGAAGAGAGGCAGCATTGTATAATTGTACAATTTTCACCTGTAAATTTAGAACTGTAAGACAGAATTCGATGCCCTCCATGATCTTGGCATTCCAATGAGTTCATTTAAAATCTATAATGCATTATACATGTCAATTGAATGATATCGAGTTTGGTGTGTGCAAGTCATGCGTCATGCAATAACAACTGCAAAGCCTCGATCCCAAGTTTAATGGTGCCTGAAACGACACCATTAAACTTAAGTTAAATATATCCTTTGTCCACCAACTTTGATGATTTAAATTCTATGTCTACGGGTTTGTGTGGTGCCGCTTTGATAATCAATTACTAACGGCCTTAATCCCCTGACCCATATAATGATGTCCCTTGTTTCATTACACGATGGATGCTATTATCTATTGATTAATATTTATATTTGAAAAAGAACAAAATTGAATATATTAAATAAAGGCAAAAACATCCTTTTGCCCCCTGTTTTTGTAACAAATGATCATCTTACCTCCTATGTTTCAAATTTTATCGATTGATACCAAAATTGGCATCGTATCAGTAAATTGGCCCAATCAATCTTTATAAAAGGACTAAATTCACTTTGTAGAAACAAAAGAATTAACTCAAAACTTTTTTTTTCGGTTGAAAAATCTAGACAATAGTTTTTTACTTAAAAAAATGGTGTTTAAATGAATTTTTTTTTTTTTGGTTATTTGAGAGATGAACAACTCCAAGGCATAAAGGAGGGAATGTTTAGAAAATTTTTAATTCAATATCTATTTGTAAAAAAATATATAAATTCAATTCAATTCCTATCTAATTAATTGAGATAAATTGAACAATAATTCGTGCATTTTAATGTAAATCAATCTAAGTTTGAAAACATAGGGAATAAGAGGATAAATAACTACAAACACACTAGATGAAAGGTAAACTCTTAAATTCTTTTCATAGGCTGAACCAGAGAGAATTCATGATCCTAGCCCTAGTAGGGTCATGTCTCATGAGTGCTTGAAAAATTAGATTTTCAAGATATGTGGAACACTCATGTATGATTGAACTTAGCTTGGGATTGTGGCTATAGGAAAGTGCTTATGAAGATTGACTCTCAATAAACAGTCAACGCTATCTACAGTGGAGTTCTACATATGCATTCCTACTATAACCTCTTTTTTTTTATTCACGCATTTAAAAATTTTAACGAACTAATTTTTTAAGATTTGAATCCATAACTTCTTATTACAATACACTACTACTAGTAAGTTATAAGCTATTTAGTCATTTTTATTATAATATCATTATTGATATCCGATGTCTTTGTAAACGACAATAATATTTATTCTTTAACTATACTATAACATTTTTTTTTATTCACGCATCCAAAAATTCTAACGAACTAATTTTTTAAGATTTGAATCTATAACTTTTTATTACGATGCACAACTATTACTAAGTTATAAGCTCTTTGGTCATTTCTACTACAACATCATCATTGATATCTTATGTCTTTGTAAATGACAATGATATTTATCCTTTAACTATAACATGAGAGAAAATAATTAAACGAGTTAATCATCTTATCCGTATTGATTCTTTCAATAATATATTTTTTTTTCATATGAGGTTTTAACTTCTGCCTTCCTCTATTATAAAAGAAGAAAAAAAGGTAGGCCAGTGTTTTTTAAAATGATATTGCTTTTTTGTTTTTTTTTTTTTTCAAATTACTCACCTTCAGGAAAAAAAAAAAAGAGACCCCCGGACCAGGAGATCAAATCATCACATACATAAGCGTCCCAGCACAGAAGTAGACGTTAGAAACCATAACGGCTATATTCAATTTCAAACTTGAAAAACCCTAATTTCATTTTCCAAATTCATTACTTTCTAGTACTGTTTTCCTTCTCTTTCCATTTCAGCACCTCTTCTTTTTCTCTCTCTCTCTTTCTCTGCATCTCTCTCTCTAAACAGAGTTCATAGTTGAGTCTTGAACTGTTTAAGGAAAGAAAACCCGTAAAAAACCACAAGCAGACCGTAAATTTCTTGTCTTTCCTTTAAGAAAACCATAAATCTTGCAATAATTCAGTCTTGAATTTGTTCAACCCTTTAAAAAAAAAAAGCCATAAATCTACATCCTTCACATACCTCTCAAAAACAGAGTCTTGAGAATTGTCAGAACAAAAAAAATGGCACCTACCCCTTCTTCTTCTTCTAAATCGAATCATCCACACCTCTTAAAGACTCCTCAATCCAAACATAAGATAAATTTCTCTTCAGCAAGAGCCCCAAATCCTAACCCATCTCCAAACCCCAACTCTACCATCAAAGAAACCCCTCAAGATCACCCGATTGAAGTAATTAGCAGGATACGAGATTATCCTGACAGAAAAGAGAAACCCACCTCGATCTTGCAAGTAAATCCCGATAACAATACTCTTCGTGTCCGTGCTGACATTGGGTACCGAGACTTTAGCCTTGATGGGGTCTCTTTCTCTGAAGAAGACGACCTCGATTCCTTTTACAAGAAGTTCGTGGAGTCGAGGATTAACGGAGTTAAATTGGGTGCAAAATGCACAATAATGATGTATGGTCCTACTGGTTCGGGGAAAAGTCATACAATGTTTGGTTGCTCGAAGCAGCCAGGCATTGTTTATCGGTCATTGAAAGGTATTTTAGGAGAAGGAGAAGAGGGAAGTGAAGGGGTTGATGGGGAGAAGCTACGAATTGGCACTTTTGTGCAAGTTACAGTTCTAGAGATTTATAATGAAGAGATTTATGATCTTTTGTCAACTAATGGTGGGGGTGGATTTGGAATTGGGTGGCCTAAGGGTGGCAGTGGGTCCAAGGTAACCTTCTCAACAAGTTCCAATGAATTGTCTCTTAAATAGTTTGCTTAGTTGCTCTGTTGTTGGACTTAAAATTCGGTTTTGATTTGCTTATTTTTTTAGTAGATATTGCTGTTTCTGTTTTCACAAGGGTATTATGATATTATGCTGCCTTTTTAAGATTTTGCTCCTGGTTAGCTATTGCTGTTTGGTAATTGCTATGTAAATTGCCTGCTTTATTTTTAGTGTATAATAAGAAATCAAGAAAACTAGATTTGTTCTCTCTGTTAGAATTTCAATTTTTTTCTTTCTGTTGTTGCACCCATATCAACTCTCTGTTTGTGCCCTTACTGAAATTGGTGTCCCAACAAAGTGAAGATTTAAGAAAATTTCTTTGATCTGAAGAAGAGGGTTGGGACTTCTAGAACTAGATATCTGAAATTTTTCTTTCTGTTATTGTATCAGGAGAAGGCGGGAGTTGTTAGTACTAGATAATACATATGAAACTATGACAGCTAAATTGTTATATAATCTTTTCTTGTGCCTGTATTTTTTGTTGTTTTATGAACATTTAATTTGAACAATTTGCTTAGCTTATCTCTTTGTTGATGATTATGTGGGTTCATTTAATTTGCCATGACTACTTTTTATCTGTTCATCATGCTATCTCTGCTCAAGGTGGAACAAGATGTTACATTTTATGAGGTTCTCATCATTACTTGCAGGTAAGACTTGAAGTTATGGGAAAGAAGGCTAAAAATGCGACTTTTATATCTGGAAATGAAGCCGGGAAGATTTCAAAAGAGATTCAGAAAGTTGAGAAGCGAAGAATAGTTAAGAGCACACTTTGTAATGAGCGAAGTTCTAGGAGTCACTGCATGGTATTGACTCATTTAGAACTGGCTTGGATAAAAATGTGAAACTACAGCCAAAGTTTTGTTGTTTTTTGAGGTTAACCTGCCTTTTCAATTGGTTGGTTGCGCAGATAATCCTTGATGTCCCAACTGTGGGAGGCCGGCTCATGCTTGTGGATATGGCAGGGTCAGAAAATATTGACCAAGCTGGGCAAAGTGGTTTTGAAGCTAAAATGCAGGTAAACATTTGGGATTTATTGTTTCTCCTTTTCTGTGTCCTGGCATTACGAGGGAAAATTGATTTTGTGCTTCTGTTGAAATGACAGACAGCGAAGATCAACCAAGGGAATATAGCATTGAAGAGAGTGGTCGAATCTATTGCTAATGGAGATTCTCATGTACCTTTCAGAGATAGCAAGTTAACTATGCTGCTCCAAGTAATTTCATATTCATGTTGATTACAACTATGTTACTTTATGTAGCGTTCTTGAACTACGCTTCATCAGGTTTTCCTGTTCCTTGTTTTTCAGGATTCTTTTGAAGATGACAAGTCGAAAATTTTGATGATTCTGTGTGCAAGCCCAGACCCGAAAGAAATACACAAGACAATCTGCACGCTTGAATATGGAGCAAAAGCAAAGTGTATTGTCCGTGGCCCTCACACGCCAATTAAGGATAAACTTGGTGCTGAAGATTCTTCTTCGAACACCTTAGGATCCAGGATAGCAGCCATGGACCAGTTTATCTATAAACTACAAATGGAGAACAAGCTTAGAGAAAAGGAGAGAAATGAAGCTCACAAACAGCTAATGAAGAAAGAAGAAGAAGTTGCTGCACTGAGAGCACTTATTGAAAAGAAGGGATCTTCAGCAAGTGAAGAGGAGATAAACCTTAAAGTTAGTGAGCGTACAGAGATGCTGAAGCTTCAGTTGGAAAAGAAGTTGGAGGAGTGTCAAAGAATGGCTGAAGAGTTTGTTGAGTTGGAGAGGAGGAGAATGGAAGAGAAGATACTTCAACAGCAGGAGGAAGTTGAGATGCTGAGAAGGCGCTTGGAAGAAATTGAGTTTGAGCTATGCCGTTCAAAGGATGGAAATAGCAGTGAGAATGATCCTAGGGAAATTGATGGAAGTGGCTTTGCCAGAAGGCTGTTGGGGGTTTATGCTGATGAGGACCCAGGGATGGTGAAATCGATGGATTTAGACATGGGTGATCAAGAAGTGTTTTCTCGTGATGTGAAATTTGTTGGCACATCTGCTCATCAATCTAACAGCACTGGAATCCAAAGCTTGTCTAGTTATCCGCATTTAAGTACTTTGAATCAGGCAGTTGATCATGGAGTATTTGCACCAACTTATGGTGATAAAGCGTGTCTTAGCACTGTCTTTGAGGAAGAAGAGCTAGAAGAGGTGGAGGAACACAGAAATAAATTGGAAGATGAAGAAGTGGAGAAAGAAGTAATAGAGGTGAAGAGGATTGTTGATGTGTCAAGGCCAGAGATCAGTTTTGGTGATGGCTCCTTGATATCTTCTCCTCTGAAGTTTGAGGCACTCAAGGATGGCTCAGAAGACAGGCACTCAGTTTCAGGACCAGTAAATGAGTCTGAGAATGTGAAAGATCCAGCGTCTTCTAGACGATTAAGAATCCAGAACATATTTACACTTTGTGGGAACAACAGAGAGCTTTGTCAACAATTCAGAACTCCAATACCTGCAAAAAGGAGGGATGCAGATACTGATCCTCATCCATCTCCAATTATGACTGATGGCAAGGATTCTGCTCTAAAATGTTCAAACAAGGAAAACTCACCGCTCCAGAAAAACGTGCCTCTGATAGAATGTGGAAAAAACCTGTCTGATCTGATGGCACTGGCTTCAAAGGAGAACTACAACCCTTTAATGGAAAGTAATTCACAGATTGAAGTGCATGTGAAATGGGAGGCTTCTAAAGGAAACAAGGGAAATTTCATCACCACTCTTAAGGTGTTAAAGGATGCAACACTTGCTGACCTGCGGAAGCTGATTGAAATCTATCTTGCCGCAGACAATCAAGCATTCACTTTTATTGTGCTTGGGGTAAGGTTTTATCCTCCTTTAGCTAGCTTCTTTAAAACAACATACCGCCACTTTGTGTTTGCTTGCTTGCTCCTGTTTTCTTATAAGAATGCTTGTACATGCAGGATCCTAGTGGAGCACCAGTTCCAAAAGAGAAAGAATCGACAGTACAGGCCATCAAACTCCCCATTTGCAACAATCAATCCCATGGCTACCTGGCTTGCTTGCGACCAGCCAAGGGAACCACCCAAGATTCGAATCATCTCCCATCAAGCCCTCTTCCATTGACTCCACTGGGAAATAAGCTACCACTCACCCCAATGCCTTGCTTGTCACATCAAGTTGATGATTTATCTCCCAAACTAGCTGCACATCTGAACTCTACTCCCTTCATTACTCTTAGAAGGCACTAGCTGTCTTTACTCCTAGAAGGCACTAGCTGTCATGGTGTGTGTGTATCTGATGCATTGAGTATATATGCGTATGTACTCTTAGTGGATTTTAAATGTGAATTTGGCTATTTGTTGAGGTATTTTTAAATCATTCCTCTTCTTTGTTTCTGCTGCTAAAATGTCCTCTTCATGTTATTTATCTCTTCATGTTAGTCTTCAATGTGCTGATTGTTGCATTGCAGATGCCTTCAGATTCTCTCTATCTAAAAATCTTTGGACTGATAGTGTGGTTCTTATAAGAACATATTGCTAGAACATATTTTTTTGCACAGAGAAGGCCCAGCAAATTTGACAATGCAGACACCCAAGTTCCTTGCAAATGACAGGGGAATCAGCTCTTAAAACTGTTCGTTGCAGTTTTGCTAATATAAGGTTTTTCTTAAGAGCAGCAGATTAAATGACAAATTGATATGGCAATATTAGAAAATTGGAGAATATACATCAAGGCGTATACCTGACAGCTCAACTTTCTATTATAATGGCTTTGGTACTCTCAAGTCTCAACTCTCTTTGGGAGATTAGGATTTTACTTTTGATTAATCGACATGAAAACTACAGCCCCAAAGTGTTAGAATGAAACTCAATCCGAACCTCTTCAACTTCACCAGATAAAGAGGTTTATTATTTATTTATTTTTTCTCTTTTTAATCTGTTTATATTACTAGTATAATTTTTTTTTATGTTTAAGGTGTTTCTTCTAATTACTATATTGTTTTTATGTGTAGTTTCCTAAATTTTGATTAATTTATTTTTCACGTTGGGAATGTTGAGTTGCTAGTAAACACAAGTCACATTTCTTACGTGTGTGTTTGAGTTGGAGACATGAAAATCTTTCTTTCTTCTTAAAATTTTCTGTTTTACTTTTTAATTTTACATTATTATGCCTTTCCCTAAAATGTATTTTTGGGTATGAATTCTACTATTTTTGCCATTGTTGTTGCTAACACAAATGGGATGTTTTTAGAATCTTACCGATTAATGAAGATTTTGAATTTAATCCGAATGAAATAATAGAAATTGTTAAAAGATTGTGTTTCTTTAAATTATCATAGAGCTGTTATTGAAATTTCTCTCCTTCCATGAAAAAATGTAGCTAGCATCATGTTGGGGGAGATATGGATTGTTTTTTCCTTTCCTTTTTGGCTAAATGATAAAAAAATTCATTTTTTTATTTTTGAATCTTTCGTACGGAACTGCATGTTGCTTTTGTGATTGCCTAGTTTGGATTTTGCAATTTGAAGTTTGCAACTAAATACCAATTTTTCTTTTATGCGAATGATATTAATGTATGTGTTTTTTTTTCTACTCACATAAAAGAAAATAGGGTTTCAAATTCACCTAAAAATACCTTTTCTTTTCATGACAAGTTTTTGAATGCTCTATATATACCTAAAAATTATAAAAACAATGCCTCTAAAAGTTAAGGGAAATCTTAAAGCTCTAGTGCAAGAGAAGTGTCAACCAAGGGCCTAGAGCCAAACAAAGTCACCACCTAGCAATTAAGAGAAGTAGAAAACCCTAACCAAATTGGTTTATGCAAATATTTAAGTAAAGTGTCAATTATGAGTGAGGAAGATCGAAAACACCACCACCACATCTTATTTAAGATAGACTGCATTATATGCATGGGAAATTAAAGTGTAGTCTTACTAAGTTATGAACCTACGCTTGTTTGATAAAATTCAATTTATGTGAGTTGATTAATTGAGTATTTCATGGTTTAGGTCGACTAGAGGCCTATACCTATACTCTAAGGGTAAAAAAGAATAAAAATTTAAATTTTAGCTAGTCTCTAACGATCGCAAACTCATATGAATAAATAGGCGAACTTCTAAAGATTATGAGCCCAATATTAACACAAATAGAATGCCTCCAATGACTTCGATTCATACAATTAGGGGCCATCAACAACTTCGTCTATAAAAATGAGAAGCCACAAATAATTTTGATTCACACCTTTAGGAAGTCATCGACAACATCATTTATACAAATGAAAAGTTATTGATGACTTCTATTCATACAATAAGGATGTCACCGATGACTTCATCCACATAAATAGAAAGCCACTAATGACGTCGATTCACATCATTATTAAGCCATCAATGACTTCATCTACACAAATGAAAAGTCATCGACAACTTCAATTCACATAATTAGGAGACCATTGATAACTTCATCACATAAATAGGAAGCCACCAATGACTTCCATCCACATCATTAGAAGGCTACGAACAACTTTATCTATACAATTGAGAAGCTATCGATGACTTAGATTCACATCATTAAGATACCATCGATGACTTCACTCGTATAATAGGAAGCGTTATCGACTTTGATTCACATCATTGAAAGGCCACTGATGACTTTATCCACACAAATGAAAAATTGCCAAAGATTTTGATTCACATCATTTGGATGCTACCGATAACTTTTTCCACACAAATAAAAATCCACTATGACTTCGATTTACATTATTAGGAGGCAACTAACAACTTTGTCTACACAAATAAGAAGTCACCAACAACTTCAATTCGCATCATTAGAAGGCTACCGATAACTTGGTCCATATACATCATTGGAAGGCTACCGATAACTTCGTCCATATAAATAGAAAACCACCAAAAACTTTGATTCGCATCATTAAGAGGTCATTAGTAATTTCGTTCACATAAATAGAAAGGTACCAATGACTTTAATTCACACAATTAGGAGGCTATCGATGAATTCATCCATATAAATGGGAAGCTATCAACGACTTTGATTCATATAATAAGAAAATCATGATGACTTTGTCCACACAAATAAAAAGCCGACAACGACTTCGATTAACATCATTAGGAAGCTATCAATGACTTCATTTACATAAATAAAAAGCCATTGATAACTTTAATTCATATCATTGGAAGGCCACCGACGACTTCATCCACATTAATAAAGTCATTGATGACTTTGATTTATCTAATTGAGAGGCCACCAATGACTTTATTAACCGAAGTAGAAAGCCATCGATGATTTCAATTCACATAATTGAAAAAAAAAAAAAACATAACATAAACATCATGTTTAAATTAAATCGTATCACAATGGTAAAATCATTTTTAAATATGCACATCGAGACTGATACTCATTTCGGATAAACCAATTCAATTTAAAACTCATGCTCAGTCCTCCGAGCTTGATCACAAAGCATTGAATACCACCTTATTCATCATCAAAAGTACTCGGGTCTTTAATCATTCAACCACACATTATTCCAAACACTTCAAAATCAACATTTAACCATACATTATTCCTTTTATTTCCCACTTTTCATCCATAATAACTCATTTATCCATCACAATCATACCTATGAATTTCATTTTAAAAAATTTGAAGGCGATATAAAAAATGTTCAAAAATTACCTTGCTAAGAACGTCGATGAGTCGAGATTCCTTCTTTATTTGTTCAGACGACTTCCTTCATCTTTTGATGAAGACATTCCTTCTTTATTTGTTCAGACCACTTCCTTCATCTTTTGATGAAGACAATCAATATTATCAATCGGAGAGGAAAAGTTAGTTGAAGAGGGATGCTAGGGGCCGCCTTTAGGGTTGAAAACACCAAGAAGAGGCTGTCCAAAGTTGCTGGAAAATGGCAGCCACTCGAGGGGTTGCTGTCCGTGGCTACTACCACCATGAATGATGGTTATTTTAGCCTTTTTTTCCTGCTGTTACAGCAACTTTTTCTCCTCCACCGCTACTAACCTTTCCCAAGCTCTCTACTATCGTGTTTTGCTGTAGAAGATGGAAGGAATAGCTACTATCGTGTTTGTTGAATTTTGGCGAGTTTTGTTTGTCAAATTCCATTTTCAATTAGACTCTGTTTTTTAATTGAACCTAAAATTCAGTTTTTCTTAATTCTAATGTCGCATGTATTTTTAATGGACCCTAAGTATCAATTTTTTTCTATTTGTCTCTCCCTTTTTTCTTTTCTTCTCTTTCCCTTTTTTGTGTCCCTCCACGCCAACCCCCTCCCCCCCCCAAAAAAAAAAAAACACGTTTGATTTTTGTGTTTTCATTTTTTTTTTTTAAGAATATGTAAAATAGAAGGGTAAAAAATTCAGTGATAACAAAATGGAAGGCATTTGTGAAAAGATTCAGGATCTCTTTTGTAAAGGCAATCATCTTGTGGATGGCCAGAGGCTGGCTGACTATGATCTACAAGGGAAGTCTACTATCCTTATTGTCCAAACTTGTGCTCTAATGAAAATATTTGTCAAACATCAACAAATGGGGCAATCGTCACAGTGGAAGTAACAGCAGGCGATACTGTCCAGAATATCAAATCCATGATTCAGGAAGAGGAGGGGGTTCAGGCAGATACATTCACTCTCATGTATGACGGATGTCTACTTGGAGATGATACGCTCTGGCTTCCTTCAGTATAATGAGCGATTCAACCTTTAATTTGGTTTTCAGTCCTAAAGCAGTGCTATCAGTTTATGTGAAATGCCATCTGGAGAGAGCTTAAAACTGTCGATTAAAGTTATGTTTACTATTGGCTATATCAAAGCATGATTGGTGTCCCTGTCAACAGTCGCAAATTATTTTATCAAGGAAAGCAGCTTGAGGATTCCGAAACAATGGCTTTTCATGACATCAAAGAATAGTCTTTATTGGAGTTGTCACCTTTTTTCAGATTTTTGTTAAATCTATGCTTGGACAAACCCTAACCTTCGATGTACACCGACTCAATACTGTGGAAGATATTAGTATCAAGGTTTCTGAATACCTGGAAATTCCTGTTGAAGATTTTCATCCCCTTTATGAAGGAAGACAGCTTGTGGCATACCAGGATCTGACAAGTTACAACATCAAGAACACTCCACTCTCCATATAATTCAGCGTCTCGTCGAGGGTAGGGGGGACAAGAATGCATGCCTTGGTAAATGACTATTGTTCAAGGAAGTGAACTTGCATTTATGAGCAAACTATGGCCCTTAAAGGGTTGGGGATGATGCCCAAGCGGTGCGGTTCTGATCTTTTGAACATTTTAAATCTTATTATGGTAGCTAGTATATGTAGTGGGATTATCTTACCTAAGATATAAAGCCATGAATGGATCACCTTTTATGAGCAAACTATGGCCCTGTTTCTGCTTTTATCATAACGGATCAGTTGTGAACCATTCCTTCCCCAGTATGCTCCATTTTGTGCAATCTTCTGTGGATATTAATTTCCTATTTGAAAAACTATAACGCATTCCCGTCCTAGGAGTTCACAATTCCTTCTGCCATGCAATTTTGTGCTAATATTTTCATAGCAGTTTCTGCATTTTCTGCTTCACTGACTGTGACTCAGTGTTGCTGTTATTGAAAACATGAAATTGTTCATGTATTTCACCAAAGATCACAATGAAATGTAGATTGTTTTCAGATTGCTTGTCTGTATGTCATGCGCTCTTTTGTGTGTGTTGGCAGGTGTACATATTTCAATTTCCTATATGCATATTTCACCATGGATTCTGCCAAATTTTCTTTATCAGATTTTTTTCTTTTAAATGGTATTGCATTTTAGGGTTTACAAGATTGGATAAAATTCATCATGATGGCTCTGAAGCAAGAATAACTGAACAATGAATGGTCTTGAGTCTTGACTCTTAAGAGTTAGGGTTTTATGTTTGCCATAGTTAAGAGTATTCCAAAAGGCCTTGCATCCATATTGTTTCATTTTGTCTGCCAACAGGAAAAGAAATAATCCATGAAATGCATCTTATCTGATAATGTTAGTCCCGTCCCAATTTTTTTTTTTTTTTCAACTTCCTAACTGTGAGCTATTTTGTGTCTTCGTGTTACGAATTAACAATAAAGCTGAAGCACAAGCTTTTGGCTTTTCGCTATGCAAGACAGACATTTATGTATGTATATGAACAGAAAATTCCAAAGCAAATTGAAGACAAATTGAATTTTAGTTAACACTTTCATGCATATCACATTAATGTCTAACATGCATATCACTTCATTCCTCTCATCCCTCTTCTTCATACGCTTCCAAAACAGAACTTAGTTGGCTTGCAATGTTCTTCCTTCCATGTATAGATTCAGACCCTCCAGATCCAGGATTTGAGAAAGGAAGCTCTTCTTTTGAAGAGTTATTTTCTTTTGATCTTGATTTTGATGACCCACTACCTGATGATCCCTTGGACTTTCTTCCACGAGAATGTTTTGGGATGGAGGGCTGGTCGTGAGTAGGCGATTCAGCACCAAGACTTGAGGTCTTGTGCCGTCTTGAGGTTCGGCTGCTCCCTGATGAGTCTCCCCTTGGGGAGTCCATGGACTTGTTTGAGGAGCGGTGACGCCTAGAACTCTTCGGCGCATCGGAGCCACGGGGGGAATTTGAGGGTGAGCCAGTACTACTAGATGCTTGGTGCCTGGAGTGCTTTGATGAGTCGGTGCTCCTTCGGTCTGGTGAATTTAAAAGCGAGCTAGCACTACCTGATGAGCGCCTTGACCTATGATTCGGCTTTTCAGTTCGACCTGTGTCTATTAAAGCAAAGAAACATCAGCAAACTACATTTTCCCCCTAATTCCTCGGCAACTGAATAGAAGATTTGGGGAACATTGCACACATTTTAACCCAAAAACGAAAAAAACAGTTCCAAGATCATTAGAGAAAAGCAAACCTTCTGAGGGTGGATCTGTTAATACGTTCTTCATTTCTTCTGTAGAATTTGGCGGCCCATTTAAAATTTCTGGAGGAGAGGTGAACTCATTCATCTGCACATGAAGGGAATTGTTTCGTATCAAAGCATTACTTAATGTAGTTTCTTCAAGGGAGCAAGTAGAAGTCAAAGATCTTTTTGGTCTCAAGCTCAATGATGACTGATGAAATAGAGACATAGCTGACAACGTTGGGCAGGCCGGTATAGCAAAAGGAACCATCAAATGGGGATGCCTATCTATATGAGACTTAAGCAACCTAGATCATTTTCGTGGATAACTACGATCTTAAGAGGCAATGACAAAGAAACTTTTTTCGCGTACCCAGCTTGGTGCATTTGCAGATGGACCATCCCATCCAATGTGAGCAACATGCTTTACATCAGTAGGAAATCCAATTTGCATTTCTTGTTCCTTTTCATCTGCAAAATTGGAGAAATGATTGATGACAACAGGCATAGTACTATACTACTGCTGCTTATAAATGTCCAATTAATTGTTGGAATACTTGTAATACTAGCAATCTGAAAATGCTAGTAATATCTTTGGTGTACATGGCAGAATTAGAAGAATGCTGCTGATCTCAAATGCATATTAATGCAAGATGAAGCTGCAATATCTTTTGTTCTGAAATAATACATTCTTTAAGAGTGAAAAACTACACATACCAAATATTTGTGAAATGTATCTTAGACCTCTCAAAAGACCTTTCACTTTGGTTGTCATTTTGGCCAAACCGGGCAATTTGACTGCGCCTGTAAAGTTGCTGCCTTTGTTGAATTGGTGCTTCTACACTTGAAAAATGGAGAAAAACAAGGATATATATCAGCAAAGTTGACAGAAGAAAATTCTTAAAACTTTTCCCCTTCTCCTATCTCAATACCTGTACATTCCCTTAGAATTCACCCAAATAAAGAAAAATGTCTTTGCTATCTTAAATCCTTCCGAATCAAAGAAGATTATCTGACAATTTTATTTACATTACAAAAAGCTATCATTATACATTGGAAAATTTGCTTCCATAATGTAATAATTCTGAAACAATTATCCCTGAAGGGAAACTCAAATACTTCGAATCACCAAGGATTGCAAAACAAACTCGTGACAACTAGGAATAACAAACGTAGTTAAATTAAAATAAACATTAAGAAAAAATTCATTGAAACAAAGAATGTGGAAATTCTATAGAGAAAACCGCACCTTGGGAAAAGAAAAAAAGGAAAAAAGTAAGTCAAGACAATGCCATGATAAGTACTTTTGCAATGTCAGTGATTGCAAATCAAACATTCTCTGACAAAAACCACACAGCTTGGTTCCATGAAAAAGATGTCACCCCTCAACCCTATCTGATGTAAAATCCAAGTGGGTAAAAAATGGATGTAAATTCTTGATTGTTGACTCGTCTCCAATCAAGAAGAGATGAGGGAGACTAGGAACTGGAAAATCTCCAAATTTTGTAGTCTAACACATCATTTTTTGTTTCAAGGACGCGTTTTCCATTCCCATTGTCCGTCAATCAAAACCAGTAGATAGCCTATTTTTCAGGCCATAAAATCCAGAAAGGCAAAGTAGCCAACTATATTTGGGTTGGTTTTGTTACCTGTCTTTTCATAAAAGCACGGCAAAAACGGTTAGAAAAAAATGGTTCTTGTTATTGGTTTCTTCTGTTGCTCCTCTTTATTGGCACATCAGCATATAAATTTAGCATACCAAAAATAAACAGGATAGACGGTCCAGAAATTCAGCATTCAACGTGAAGGTTCAATAATCGGATTTCTTGGGGCCATTTGCTCATGATATTCGACCTTTAGGGTTGTTCAAGTAGCATAATAATTTCTTAAAGAGCAACGAGAATTGCTTTCTCAACGCCAACCTCGGGGGTTGGTTTCAAGCGTGAAATGGTGTGCTTCAGACCCGAGCAGGAATGACATACTATTTGGTTAAATCTGAAAAACTAAATCAAACCGAATTGAATATACAATTTCGATTCAATTTTATACAAAAAATTTAAAGAAAAAAATCAAAATCAAAATTATTTCAATTCAATTTTTTTTTCCAAAAAAAAACAATTGATTTCCACCAAAAACTGAATTAGTTTTTTTTTTAATTCTACTAAAATTTAAACTTGTAACCGACCACAAGCTCTGTGGAATTTATGATAGACAAGAAACCACCCAGATCATGATATTTTCCTATAATTTCCTTTGCTAAAACTTCAATTTAAGCATTAGCATTCCTTGAAAATAAAAAAATAAAAATAAAAAGCAAAAAAAAAGGCCTTTATACTTAATCAAAGAGAAAATTCAAAAGAAAACATGAAAAAAAAAGGTTTTTAATTGAAAACCAAAAAACCAAATCGAAAAATTCGATCTTTTAATCGAAAAAACGAACCTCAATTTGATTCGGTTTTGGCTTTTGTTTTTATTTTAATCAATTCGGTTAATCAAAAACCCAAAATAAACCAAAACTGAACTGAAAAGCCAAATGACCACCCTAATAACCTCCAATTAAGGTTGGGTGCGCGGGGGAACTGCCTTACCAAGTGGGCAATGCGTGACTTCTTCCAAACCATACAGAAACGCAAAGAGCAAAAAATACTAAATGAAGAGTGAAAATGTCATAACACAAGTTGAACAGAAAGGATGACAAGAGTTAAATAGCTGTAAAATTTGTAGCAGTTAATTATTTCTCCCGTCTAACGTTTTTGAAGCCAAATCAATAAGGCATCCAAAACCAACAATCTTCAGAAGGACCTCCTCAATTATGAAGCTTTCATATCATCCAGACCAACACTAGCCTGCAACAACAAATTAGAATTGGTGAGCAAACAAGTATAAGGTGACATTTCAGAACTATCATGCTACAATCTAAAGAAAACAGAAAGCTCCCAACTGGCCCACTAGATTTTCTGGCCCCTTTCCTCCCTGCTTCGCACCTTAGAAATTCCGAATTTTCAGAGTTTATTGGTTCCTTTGATGCGAAGTACATGCCACACATGGAATGCTAGCATATTTGATTCCACTCACTTTACTTTCTTTAAAAAAACTGGCAATGCTGCAGCTCACAACTTGGAGCAAATGGGAATGTAACGAACAGACACTGACATAGGTTTTTGCCCATCAGGAAAAAAAAAAAAAAAAAAATCACCGACTCAAGTTTGGCCTATTGGGATTTTAATTCAGCCTTTAGCACAAATGTCAAAGGTGGCATTATAGCATCCTAGATTAGGTGGTTACAAAGACATTGGGCATCTCAGACAATGCAATTCAGTTACAAAACCAACTTACCAGGAACTTGTGATTCTCTTCAAGAAATGGAGGAAAGGTTGTACAAAATTGCTCCATGTCAGCAGCAACATCACCTGAGCCAGCTATTACTTCCATGAACTTCTTCCTATCTGGAGCAAGCTTCATGGCAATCTGTAATCCAGTATGTAATAAGAAGAGAAGTCTCAAAGACTAATTTGGCTAACCGTACACCAAAGTCTTAGCTAATTTATAAGATATAGTCCACAGGGAATAAAATGACAATCCAATTTATTTTTTAAGCTTCTGCTCATGGACTCAGAAAATCAACAACAGCTCCCCCTTTTCTCATAAAAGTGAGACAAACAAAATGCTCCTTTGTCATCAAAACATCCACACTTCATGTATGTTTGCTCTTAAATGCATAAAAACTGAAGAATCGAAGAATCAACTGAATTGACAGTCAAGTTTAAGATATACGAAATATATGGAACCAGTACATTTACAGGAGAATGCATAAATATTTTAAATCTAATGCATTAGAACTGGAATAATTTTCAAAAATGTAATTCAAGAAACAAAAAATCAGTTCAGAGATTTCATGGTCTTATACAGATCAGCATAAAGCAAAGTACTTGGAATATAATTTTCACTCATAAAGAAATAATAAGGATAGAACTATATCCAAGACATACAGTAAAACTTGAACTGGCAAGCCAGCCATGAAATTTTTTCAGTGTCTTGCCATAGGAATCTGTGCAGGCTTGTGACATTGTCCAATCTGGATGTACAAGTAAATTCCGGAATAGTTCCACCATGAAATCCATTGCTCTGAGGAATAACCAAAAATGTTAAAACACAAGACAGAGTGTATAATTGTAAATTCTGTAATCATATATTATAAGCAATTGACTGTCAGTCACCAACAGCAAATAAGATTTTTTTTTTTTTTCCTGATAAGCCAAGCTTGTTTTCTAGTGAAAACTCAAACCCCAAAAGTATCTACTTTTATCCTATTTCTTGTTCTGGATATCACTCACACACTTTCACGACCTGAAAACTATGCACTGAGGCACTTCAACGAGACATTCAAAATTTAAAATTTTCATGAATGACATGATTTTTTTTTAAGGAAATCAGGTATATATATGTTCAAAATAATTTTTTTCCTCCATAACTTTCTTGCACCAAACTCTATGATGATCAACATGCTCCAAATTTCTTTAACACTCTTGCAGAATAATCCATTACAACTATACATGCAAATGACCAACTAAATTACAGGAAAAGAATGACGAAAGTAATTCTGTTGGGAACATTATGTGGTATCTACCTGGTTAGCCAAAGAAGACCATTGGTACAACTAGATGATCCTTTAGCGGTTTTAGCATCAACCTCCTCTTGAACCATAGTGAACAAGTGGTTGTATTTAGATGGATCAGACAAATATTTGGTTTCCAATCTCTACAAGCGAAAACCAAACATTATATAGTTTCAGATAATCAGTATTAAGCATGAACCAAAAAAAAAAGATCCAAATCACCGTTCAAATGCCTTAAACAAAATAGTATAGTGATAGGATGTATAAACTGCACAGTACTCAAATGGCCATGAAAGGCAATTTAAAAAAGAAAAAAAAAAAAAAAACAGAGAAAGAGAGAGAGAGAGAGACAACATATAGGTGTCTAAGACTTATTTTTTTAAAAAAAAAACATAGCAAAAGAGAGAGACAACAATTAGGCATCAAGATTTATTATCTATTTATTTATTTATGAACTACGACGTATATAGTCGCCCAACTACAGCAACAGTAGATGAAGTAGAGATCTCACAACTCTTTCACTATCTTTCATTGTGATGAGACATTCTATCTATCCACATATGCAAATAACATAACTTATATAAGCAAGTTAGGAGATAAGAAGAAAAAATGCCTTACTGTTATGTTGCCACCGACATCAGATTTTACAAGGGTCATAGCAGCTCCAAACTTATCTGTCATCAGAAGTAATACAGGAGTTCAATTTGCAACCAAGTATCTAGTAGTTGAATAATGAGAGAAGATATGATAATCCCAAAGAAACAAGAAATAAAATCATTATAGTGAAGAATCTCGAAGAAATGAAGATACCTTTTCGCATGACATTTGCAAATCGATTCAAGTGGTTTTTTAACTTTTGACTCAAAGAAAAATCATAAATATATTTGATTAGAAGGAAGGAAGTTCGGATCTCGATTTAAATGAAAAGGTTGCTACAAAATTGAGTCAGAATTTTTAACTTATAATACCTCTAAAAAAAATTGCTATTGATCGTTTTTAGCCAAACATACTTCTAACTAAACAAACTCTAAATCTATCATCACAAATAACCTCGGCTTCAATTAGAAAGTACATCTTAACTCGGTATCAATGTAAATTAATTAACAAATTAAACGAGTGTTTGGCAACTACTAAAGAGATGGAGAATTCTAAACACGAGAAACTGAAACTAATATTAGTAATTGAATAATTAAAGGAACGGACCGATGACAGGCAAAATCAATTTGCAGACATCCAAGAAAGGTTTAGTGAGCATTTCTCCGTTTTCGGATTTGACATGCTTCATTCCTTCCAATGATGGTGCAAACGCAGTTCCTTGACCAGCCTCCATCTTCAATTTCTCTACTCAAAGTCACTGCAACAACATTCAATAAATGAGAAAGAAAGAAAACAGAGTTAGAAATCTGAACCGAAAAAAACAACAACCATGCAGCAATTTAAAATTTTAAAAAGAAAAAAGAAGAATAACATTAGATTTTAATCAGATCTACCCGCAATCACAGTGTCACAGAATGTTATTCGAGAAATAGAGAGAGATTTATCAGTACAAAAGCAGGAAAAGAAGAGGAGAAGAAACGAAAAGTTGCTGAGATTAATTCGATTTCGAAGGAAATGCCGGAGAATCTGATATGTGGTATTTGATAACGCGATGCTTTTGATATTTTATAGATAGAGAGAATCCGGTGGCCTTGGTTACCCGCTTGCACGTTTCGAATCCGAGTCGTGCTTTTTTCAACAGTTTGCTGGCTTGGCTGATTGACTGTTGAACTGATCACGATGATTCATCATGAAGAACAAGAATGAATATATATATATATATATATATATATATATATATATATAATGAAATAATGAATGCATATGGTTGATATATTTTTTATATATCCATTCAATTTATCATTTCATATGAAAAATTAAAAAAAAATATGATTCAATTTATCATTTCATATGAAAAATTAAAAAAAATATATGATTCAATTTATCATTTAATATAAAAAATTTAAATGATAATGCAGCTTAATTCAATAATTTATATACTTTTAATTATTTAAAGTTTTTTTAAATTCTTTTCTCAATTTTGAAACCTATAAATAGATTTGATTGTGTTATTAGTTTGTTTATAAGTTTTTTTAAAGAGATTAAGAGAATAATTTGAAATTCTTATTACTTGTATTCACTTTAAATTTATTTCCTTATCATCTTTTTTTTTTCAATTCTACTAATTGTTTTTATTTTTTTTATAACACGTTATCAACACGATTGTTCTATCAAACGATGCAAATCATCTAGACTATTACGAGGTATGTATCTAATTTATCTTTTTTTTAAAAAATCTATGATACATATATTATACATTTAAAAAACTTAAATAATCTAATATATATTCTAATAATCTAATGCATGTTGTTTGAGAAGTTTGAATTTTATAATTATGTTTGTTTTTATTTTTTAACATTATTATTATATCTTGTATTATAAAATTTTTATCATGTCAAACCTCGCAAAGCTTGATTTTATGGCTTTTGACATTTCGGACAAGAATTATTTATCATGGGTGCTTGATGTTAAGATACATTTAAATGCTAATAGTCTTGGACAAACAATTATGGATGATAATCAAGAATCTTTGCAAAACTCATGCTAATCAAGAATCCTTGCAAAACCGTGCTAAAATAATGATCTTCCTTCCTCATCATCTCTATGAGGATTTGAAAGCCGAATATTTAACGAGTAAAAGATCCATTTGAACTCGTAAAAAAATTTAAAGGAAAGGTATAACCACCAAAAGATAATAATTCTTTCAAAAGCTCATTATGATTAGATGCACTTAAGATTATAAGATTTTCAAATAATAAGTGAGTATAATTTTACAATATTTAGAATCAGTTCCCAACAAAAATTGTAGGGAGAAAATATTATTGATTCATATATGTTAAGGAAAGCTTTCTCTACTTTTCATGTCTAGAATATGTTCATGTAGCAAGTACTATCAAGAAAAAGGTTTTAAAAAATACTCCGAATTGATTTCATGCCTACTTATGGTTGAACAAAATAATGAGCTACCGATGAAAAATCATGAACCCCATTATACTCCATTCCCTAAAGTGAATGTGACATCTTATAATAATTTTGGATGTGAACGAAGACATGGTCGTAGCCATGGATGTGGACATGGTCGTGGCAATATCTATGGTCGTGGCAATATCTATAGTCGTGGTCAAAATAATTATCATTATAATTGTGGTGATCATAATAACACATCTCACTACTAGAAGTGGATAAATTATGAAAAGAAACAAGAAAATAATAAAAATAGATCAAGTCAACATTTCAAAACCGAATGTTATAGATGTGGTATAAAGGGACATTTGTCGCGTACCTATCATATGCCAAAGCACCTAGTTAAGCTTTATCAAGCCTCGTTGAAAAAGAAAGAAAGTGATATAGAGGCAAATTTATATATCAAAATAATGATTATGATAATGTTTCTTTTGAAGGTTTCAATAATTAGACACATTTAGATGTTGTAATTTTTTTTTTTTAAGATTCTAAAGGAAAAAATAATTAGATTAATAACAATTGTTGAAATTAATATCTTGTTACCATTTATATTGGTAAATAAAAAAGTTTTATGTTTTTTTATAATTTCTATTACATCGTGATAGTTATATTTTTTATTTATTTGTTTTGTTTGTGTTTATGAAGAATATATGGATACTATTAAGTTTGCAATTGATTTAAACATTATAGAAGAGAATTTATGCCTCGTGGATAATGCAACAACACATACTATACTTAAAAATAAAAGTTATTTCTCTAATTTAATGATGGTCAAAGATAATGTTAACACTATATTTGTAGTATTAATTTAATTGAAAGCTCTAAAAGCGTAAATATATTATTACTTGGAGAGACAAATTTGATTATAAATAATGCATTATTCTCTACTAAGTCCCATAGAAATCTATTGAGTTTTAAAGATATTCGTCTAAATGGATATCATATTAAAATAACAAATGTTGAGAATATTGATTACTTATATATGACAAAAATTACATCGGATAGAAAATATATTGAAGAAATTACCTACTTTCTTTTCTCGGCATTTATTACATAAATATTCAAATGATTGAAATAAATACCATAGTAAACCGAAACTTACTAATTCTTTTATTTTGTGGCATAACCGGTTGAGTCATCCTGGATTCATTATGATGCAAAAAAATTATTAAAAATTTGTATGGACATCAATTAAATAACCAAAAGGTTCTTCAATATAACAAGTTTTCATGCGCCGCATGTTCTCAAGGCAAACTTATTATTAAGCCTCACCAAATAAAATTGAGATTGACTTTTCAGCATTTTTAGAATGTATTCAAAGTGATATATGTGAATCAATTCATCCATCATGTCGACCATTTAGATATTTTATGATTTTAATGGATGCATCTACAAGATGATCACATGTATGCTTATTATCAACTCAAAAATTGACGTTTTCAAGGTTACTTGCTTAAATAATTTGATTACGAGCATAATTTTTAGATTATACCGTTAAAACAATTTGCATTGACAATGGTGGTGAATTTATCTCTCAAGCATTTAATGATTATTGCATTTCTATTGGAATAAAGGTTGAACGAGTCTATTGTTTATGTTCATACTTAAAGTGGTTTGACATAATCATTTTTGAAAAGCCTCCAATTGATAGTTAGATCATTACTTATAAAAATAAAACTCCCTATTTATGTTTAGAGACATATAATTTTACATACAACAATACTTCTTCAAATCGAGTCCACAAGTTATCGAAATTATCTCTCTTTCAATTGGTTTCGGTCATGAACCTAATATTTCTTATTTAAAATTTTTTAGATGTGTATTATATATCCTAATTACTCATTCATAACGAACTAAAAAGGGTTTTCGGAGGAGATTGAAACTATATGTTGGGTAGGAATCTCTTTTTATAATTAAATATCTTGAATCACTAACGGGGGATGTTTTTACGACTCAATTTATCAACGATCATTTTAATGAAATAATTTTTTCAACATTAGAAGGAAAGAATAAACGGAATAAGTAGTTTGAAATGTCGAAAAAGAAATTACATGAAAACTTTATATTTTTATCATATTGATCCCCATAAAAAATAATATGAACTTGAAGTTCGGAGGATAATTCATTTGCAAAGTCTTGTAAACCAACCGTCGGATGCATTCTCCGATCCAAAAAAGTAACTAAATCACATATTCATGCCGAGAATGCTTCTATTAGAATCGATGTCTCATTAAGACAACTTATTAATGTTATAACAAATGAATCTAAATCACATATGAAGCGTGAAAGATCGATCGATTCTAAAGATAAAAATCTCTAAAAGATAAAAAAGAAAAAATAATCAAGATAGAAAAAATATAAAGGAGCCGTATAAATGGTCCAAGATACTTTTAATAAGAAGCTACCAAAAGAAGCCCAAATGCTTGAGAAAAATTAACAAATTTTGATAAATTATATTAATACAAGGAGAAAATGGGATCAAAAAAAATATTCATTGATAACATTTTTTTATATACTATTGTAATTGATATTTTGAATAAGGATCTTGAGCCTAAATCTATTGAAGAATGTTGACATATAGATGATTGGCCTAAGTCAAAAGATGCAATCCAGAAAGAATTAAAGTCTCTCATGAAATGACTAGTTTTTAACCTATAGTTAAAACATCCGAAGAGGTTAAGCAAATAGGATACAAATGGGTATTTAGGCAAAAATGAAATGAAAAGGATGAAATTGTGAGATGCAAAGCAAGACTTATAGCACAAAGGTTTTCATGAAGACCTAGCATTGACTATGATGAGACATATTATCTTATAATGGATGCAATAATATTCCATTATCTTATTAGCTTGATAACACATGAAAAACTTCATATGCATTTAATGGATGTGATCATAGCCTATTTATATGGTTCACTTTATAATGATATTCGTATCAAAGTCCTAGAAGGACTTAAAATGCCCGAAATGCATAAAATACTTTCCCGAGATATGTATTTAATTAAATTACAAGATCTTTATATGGATTGAAACAATGCTGGACGCATGTATTATAATCATTTTAGTGACTCTTTGTTAAAAGAAGGTTATAAAAATAACTTAATTTATCCATGTTTCTTTATAAAGAAATTCGAAAAGGGATTTGTGATCATTGTTGTATATGTTGATGATTTAAATATAATTGAAACTCCTAAAAAGACTCTAAGTGCCATAAGTGTTTTAAAAAGAGAATTTGATATGAAAAAATTTGGAAAAATAAAATTTTATCTTGACTTGCAGTTCGAACACTTAGAAGATGGAATTTTTATTCATTAGTCAACATATATAGAAAAAGTACTACAACGATTCTATATGGATAAGGCATCCATTGACTAGTCTAATGATAGCTCGTTCACTTGATGTCCAAAAGAATCATTTTCGACCTTGAGAAGATAACAAATAACTTCTTCATCCTAAAGTATCATACCTTAGTATAATTAGTACATTAATGTATCTTGCTAATAATACCCAACTTAATATAGTATTTTTTGTAAATTTATTAGCAAGATATAGTACGCTCCAACATGGAGACATTGGAATAGAATTAAACATATACTACGTTATATTCGATGAACAATTGATATGTGCTTATATTACTCTAATAAATCAAAGACAAGATTAATTATTTATACGGATGCATGTTATTTATCCGATTCATACA